GTGTGTGTGTGTGTGTGTGTGTGTGTGTGTGTGTGTGTGTGTGTGTGTGTGTGTGTGTGTCACATTGTGCACATTGGGCCTGCTGCAGAACAGATGTGCTGTTTTTCAGCACCATGCGCTCATGTGGCCTGTATTTGTTTGAGATGCACTGATGAGATTTTCTCTGATGAAATTCTGCAGGCGCCACATCTGAGGCAGAACTACAAAACCAACAGGACAACAGCCACATTCTATGAATGTTTAGTTATTATCATTTAAAAAAGAAAGTGACGGGTAAAAATTGATCATGACGTATTTTTTCTTATCCTATCAGTCAAAATGACGGACAGCAAAAAAGTCTAGCACAGCCTCTGCTCAGGAGAGTCCAAGGAGTAGTTTCACAGTGCTCAGTGAAGCAACACTAAACAGGCTGACCTACTGAAAGACAAAAAATCTGGGGGATATTTGGGTAAAGAGAAGGGCAGAAGTTTTGACTGATCACTTTGCGGTGAGTCAAATACAGTGATGTGTAATACCACTGGACAGAGCTGGTAAAGATAAATCAACAGTGCACTGAACTGGAACTGGTAAAGGTCTTTGTTTATCAGTTCTTGAACTCAAATGTAGGGTTGGGCAATGTTGGCAAAATAATTAATCACGATTTATTGTGGTATTTAGCCGATAACGATTAATTTGACGATTAATCTCCTGGAGTCCCTGGACACACTTATATCCTAGTCACATGACTAATTTAGTGGGAAAGATTGGCTCTTTGTAAAACTCTGTTCCAAATTGTGTCAAAATTACAGACTTCAGGCTTAAAATCTATTTTAAATTGTGTTGATGGATAAATAAATTACAGAACTTTTTTTTTAATGTTCGTTATATTTGAAGCGGAGAGGAGCACCGAGCATGCCTGGTGGCATTAATCATATTAATCGTCAAGTGCCAAAAAATAATTGATTAATGTTTTTCTGACGATCAATTGCACACGGTACGATTATGCCCAAACCTACTCAAATGTTTGCAAAAATGCCACAAGTCCTAAGGAGGACTGGGGTCATGGAATACAATTGGGCCAGACTTAAGTCCTCCATTGCAGATGTAGTGTTAGGAAGCTGTTACACTGCAAAAAATATCCACCTTACCAAGTTTTAAAATCTTATATCCAGCCAAAAAGTCTTTTTGATCTTGTTTTGAGACTGATTTACTAAACAAGAACTGATTGTGTAAGAATAATCATCTTGTTTTCTGAACGTGTAAGATTATTTGTCTTGTTAGTCTGAAAATTTGACTCAAATTAAGTCAAAAATTTCTGCCAATGGAGTAAGAACATTTCACTTGGTAAGATTCTTGAAATATTTGACTCTTAGACTCATTTTTTTCTTATTTCAAGAATCTTACCAAGTGAAATTTTCTTACTCCATTGGCAGAAATTTTTGACTTAATTTGAGTCAAATTTTCCTAACAAGACAAATAATCTTACACATTCTGAAAACAAGATTATTATTCTTACACAATCAGTTCTTATTTAGTAAATCAGTCCCAAAACAAGATCAAAAAGACTTTTTGGCTGATATAAGATTTTAAAACTTGGTAAGATGGACAGTTTTTGCTGTGTAGGTAGTTGACAGGAACCACAGGACCCATTGGTTTTTGTATCACAGAGGATAAAATTGACCAAATTGACCAAAAAAAAAAAAAACAAAACAAAAAAGACAACAACTTTAGCAAAGACAAAAACCACAATTTGGATGTTGGAGAAATTTCTGGAGGCCATGAACAAAGATTTTTGGTTGGCCTCAGAGACGGTCTGAAAACCATTTGGCACCTTAAAAAAATAAAAAGGCAGGGCCCATCCTAGGCTGTGCTTTTTGAAAGGAACTCCTGACCTGGACTGGGGACATGTTCAAGTGTTTGAAGGAACATTTTGAAGATGTCCTCACATCGACCACCATATCCAAAAAAAAAAAGGCAGAGTCTGATGAGTCAGGGGAAAAGCAAATTCATTATACTGAGATAGGGTTGGTGATGCAGTAAGAATCTTCTCGGTGGCAAGGTGCCAAAAGTGGACAAAATAAAAGCTCTGGACTCTGTGGGGCTGTTGTGGTTGGGCTTTGACAGGAACAACATCTGTGAACTGGCAAACTGGCTTCAATTCAAAAAAAAAGATGAGGGCACTGAGTGTGTTCCAGTAGGGGATCACTCTGCTCAGTCTCATTTGGAAAAGTTTACTCCAGATTTGTAGAAGGGAGGCTTCAACTCATTATCAAACCTTGGATAAAGAGGTGTGGATTTTGTCAAGGTCTTAGAAATCTTGGAGCTCACGAGAGTTAATCATCCAAACCACGTCCCTGTAGACCGGGAGGAAGCTTACAACTGTCTCTCTTAAGGGATTTTGTCTGGGGTACAGGAAGTCAGAACTTTACATAAATAAGAAACTTTCGAAGATTAATAAGCTGCATCAGTTTGTCGGCTAGCTAAACAACTCACCCAATTCTTGTTTTCCAAAAACAATTATTAAACCTGATCTAGGGCTGCCACGATTAATCGATTAATCGACAACTAATCGATTATTAAAATAATTGATGACTAATTTAATAATCGATTAATCATTTTTTTGTTGTTTACTTTGTTTTTCTCTCCAAACTGCTTTGACACCTTCCACTGCCACATCTGCCTTTCTGTCCTTGACACACATGCACAGTAGTGGTAACTGGGGTAGGCCGTGGACGTCACAAGACATTATACAGACAGGCTCTGGTATCATGGCTACCTGGCAACGGAGCTCAAAAGTGTGGGATCATTTTAAGAAAATGAAAGAGAAACCTGTGTAATATCTGCAGAGCAGAACTTGCCTTCTACAGCAATAATTTTTAGTTAGCATATAGCTAAAATCTAACGATGGTTATACAATAGCAGCTGCATTCTGATGTGATAAGCTGTATGTTTTATATTCAATTAACGTATGATCTGATTAGTCGACTAATCGAAAAAATAATCGGTGATTAATCGATTATAAAAATAATCGTTTGTGGCAGCCCTAACCTGATCTAACAATAAATAATTATATTATTTTCACTATTTCCTTAATTATTCTGCATAGCTACTGTAAGTTGTACCCCCTTGAACTTCAGGCTTCAAACAAAAAGATATAATTGTATTTTATTTTTTTTGTGAAGAATCAACAAGTGGGACACAATCATGAAGTTGAATGAAATTTATTGGATATTTTAAACTTTTTTAACAAATAAAAATCTGAAAAATTCAGCGTGCAAATTGTGCGATGCAATTGTGTCCCACTTGTTGTTGTTGTTTCTTCTCAAAAAAAAAACTTTATGCTTTTTACTTTCGCAAGGCACTGTATATCTGTTTATATGTGAACAGTTGTCTTTTCAGACAAGCATCTACAGTTCCAGAGAATGAAGCAACCTGTGCAAAAGTCTTTGCAAAATCTGAGGAAGCTAGAGTTTTTTATTTTTTTATTTTTTTGTCTAAATTGGACACGGAGAAGCAAGTTGGGCCTGTTTTTGTTTGTGCTGAATCCACAGTACACATCTTACCTGCCGCTGTCAGACCGCTTCCTGACAAGAGTCTGACACTCTGGGCTTTCCAGAATCCGAGGCTGCCTGGAGAATGGTGCATATGAGCAAAGGGACCAGCACAAAACAGAATCAACAAATAAATGAATGAATGGATGTGAGCTGGATGATGGAGGATAATTCAGTTTTGATTAGGAAAAGCCTGACTCTGTCAGGGGCTGAAAAAAAGTTTATGCTGTGAAAAAGAAGGCCTGCTGTGATGGAGTGTATGTTGGTGACAGGAATGAGATGCGCCACACACTCATGCGTCATCTGCATCTGAGCCTGTGTAGATGTGTGTTTGAGCACAAACGTGCGAGTGTACCTCTTCATACCGAAGGTGAATTAAAGTCTCTTGAGAGGAAAGTAGCATCCATATTCTCCGTTCATGGACATAAAGATGACAAGGATGATGAACGCACCAACCACACACACAAAAACAGTCTCACTCATAACGTGAATTATGAACATCACATCATCTCTGAGCACCAGGTCTTAGAGAAACGCAACACTTCGCAAAGAGAGAGAGAGCAGGCGAGAAAACAGAAGCTGCAGAATCGCAGAACAAAATGTGGACTGCAAGAAGTTAACGCAGCAGGGAGACACCGTGGCCAGTAGGGACTACTTTAAGAGGAAAGTGACACAAGCCTCACAAGGAAAGTCGTAAAAGGACAGGAAACTAAAACAACAACAATCACAACTAAAGTTAGCTGCTGCTAATCGAACCACAAACTGAAGAACACAACCATCACAGCCACTATGCTTTTATCAGAACAGAGCTGAGGATTTCACTGGACCTAGCCGCTCCAGAAGCATCAGAACTCAGCAAAAAAAAAAAAAAAAAAAAAAAGAGCAAATATCACAAAGAGCTTGACATCTGCCTGAACCTCATTAAGGCCTCTGGACCATAAAGATGAATGTTGGCTTTTACAGAATCTAATTACATTTACCATATTTTCCGGACTACAAGTTGCACTTTTTTCATAGTTTGGTCGGCCCTGCGACATATTCCAAAGCAACTTTTCTATGTTGTTTTTCTACTTCACGACACATTTTTTGACTGATGCATTTACAGTAATTCATACTGACTGACATAACCCAAGGAGTAAAAATTACATTCTGCAGCCGTGAGAGGGCATTCTAGGCTTGTGACAACTACGGTATATGTTGTTCCTGTAACCTATCGGTTAAAATAATGAGCAGCAGAAAGAAAATTTGGAGTAAATGAGAAAGTTCTGAAGGACTGGGGGAAACCAGAGGTTTTCTCTTCCAGAAGAAGGTGGACCTGGACCAGTCCCGGACCAGTTCTTCTGTTTGTCTGTGTCTCTTTCCTGTCCCTCAACCAGCCGGTCGAGGCAAATGGCCGCCTGTCCTGAGCCTGGTTCTGCTGGAGCTTTCTTCCTGATTAGCAGGGAGTTTTTCCTCTCCACCGTTTGCTCAGGATGGGAGACTGTGATGAAGTGATTCAACGCAGCCTGCTGGTTTCTTCTTTAGATTATTATTTTATGTACAGTGCCCTGAGACAACATATGTTGTGACTTGGCGCTATATAAATAAACTGAACTTAAACTGAACTTAAAGAAAATGAAGAATGCTAATCGTGTACTGTGGAATGGGATTGGCGAACCAACGGTAACTCACTTGTACAAATGCATTGGGCCCGGCTGTTTTTGTTTACATTGAGCAAAGCCGCCTCACTGTAGGTGCCGGCAGGGATCAAAATAATTCATATGTGCAAACCTTATTTTATCGTGTTTGCGACACAACAATAATGGACTCCACCAGACTAGAAGGAAAAGCAGATGGTAAGATAATAGCAGTAGCTACTGTTAGCTTGTTGTTGGTACCGTAGCTTGCTTTTTTGGTATCTTGCTGCAGATGTTGTTTAGTTTAACTTGTGTAAGAAACAAAAAATAAACAAAAAAACATTACCATTGTTGCAAACAATTCACCTAAAGTTACTCTCATCTGTGAGTGATCATCTGTCTATGGTTAATGTTATTTGGCATCCCAGGGGCTATGTGCTGTGTGTTATAAATGCCTCTTCTGGATTGATTAGTCAGGCGTAACTTACACTCCGACATGACTTATATGTTTTCCTCTTCATGACGCTTTTTTGACTAACGCAACTTATACTTCGAAAGCAACTTATAGTCTGGAAAATACAGTATTTTACAGGTCTCTCTTGCACTCAAGACTACCTGTGTTAATGAGATTATCAGTCTAAATAAAAGTAAATAAATAAAAATTCTGCTTCCAAAATGAAAAAAAAGGTAATTGTGAGAAAAAATGTTTTGTTCTCTCATTTTAGTTAAAAAAAGCAATTTGTTCTTTATTACAATGGTTTCACTTTTAAAGGCACAAGTCAAGCTCCAATAGTAAGCAGTTTCAGAGAGGAGAGGGGGGGTCCACAACAGGGTACCTGTCATCTTCAGGGGAAGCATGTTGGATTAGAATCCGGGGACTTGCCGGACGTCGTCGAGGCAGGGAATGGGACAAAGGCTTTCTATGTGTACACATACAAAAAAGGTCACCTATGTCACAGACTCAGTGGGAAAGGTCAGTAAAATGTTCATTTATTCAGACCCTTCAGAGGCAACAGGACAAGCACTAAACACAATACCAACTGACTGAGGGAAGTAATAAAATCACAAAAATGTCCATGTAATGCAAAGTTATTTTATCATCTAAAATATTTTTTCTACCCTGAAGGAAGCAACTTTGTGTGCTTTGATTAAGAAAAGATCTCAAATGTGTTGCTTTGCTGCCATAATGAACCTAAACTGAAAGCCTTGAAAGTTTCCACTATGAGGTAAATATTAGCACTAAGATGAGCATGAACAGGATGAATGATGGAGTGATCCACAGACTTTCAGTGCTCCTTTAAATAGAAGTGACAAGACAGAATCGAAAAAAATCCATGTTACTGTGGTACCTTGATGTTGTTGTAACTAGTTTTTGTTGGGATAACTAGGGTCTGCAGCTAGCTCAGTAAAAAGGACGTGTTGAAGGCTGTACAATAATCTTCATATTTATTCATAGTTGGTAGAGGATTTAAATAGTTAAAAATAAATGATGCAACTAGCTTGTATTTCATCGAATGCCACCTAGAAAATAAGGTATTGGAAACACAATTTGGTACATTATTTCTAAAGTCTAACAAGCTGAAACTACAAGTGCAGTTAACCGTACTTTTTATTTAAAATACTCTAAATCTTTGAACCTCAAAGGTAAGGTTAAGGGTAAGTGCAGGAGTTTCAAAGAGATTAGAAAGGTGCCAAATGGCAGTGGCGAACTGTCAGGGCATTCAAAGAACTCATTGAAGACCCAGAGTATACAATAAATAAATAACTGAATTTGAATATTTATTATTTTTTAAAGGGGCAATATCATGTAAACAGGGTTACAGAAACATACAGTGTTGTTTTGAGTCATGAAATTCTGTAATATCCCGAGGCAGTCATTTGGGAGAACAAAAATGGCTGGTTGGTCCTAGAACAGGGGTGGGCAATCCTGGTCATCGATGGCTGCAGCCCTGCATGTTTTACTTGTTTCTCTGCTCCAACACACCTGATTTGAACAAATGGGTGATTATCAGGCTTCCGCAAAAATTGCATGGGGTAACTGAGTGACTGAACCCGGTGAAACAGCACATGCATATCTGCTGAAATATCTTGTATCTATCTATCCTGCGGCCTCACTTCTGCACAAGATATTCTGTATCCATATCAGAATCTTCTTGACTATTGAGACAGAATAAAATAAATCATATTGGTAGTTTGTCCAGAAGGTTTTGTGGCTAAGTTACATGGCAGGCTAAGCTAATGTTGGTTCTTTGCCTTCAGCTCCACTGAAAAGGGCCGAAAGATTATGAACTTTGTATTTGGGTATACGTTTGGGTTTTGAGTGGCCTTTTTTTAAAACAAACTCCTTGGTTAGCAACTGGGAATCAGGGATCGGGGGGTAAGGTTAGGGGCTGGGGTGGTGGGGGGGTCTGCTGTAGTAGTAGTTAGAATGAGTGCTGATCTCATTGTCCCTTCCCCACTTTAAGATTCAGTACTGGTCTCTTCGTACCCATGCCTTTTAAACTTTCTACCCACCTGCTCCTTCTTGCACAGAAAGTATGAATATATGGAGTCACATTGGAACAAAGTGACTTGGAGCCCTTTACTACAATAGCCTGTTTTATTGAACTGTATTGTTCCTACACACACACCTGTTGAATTTTGAAGGACTGTGCTAATTTTGTTACACATGTTGCTATTCATGGGTCTTGATTGGGTTTCCTTTACTTTTGCATCTGACATAAACACGAGGTTGCAGTTGATCCGTTTTGGTGTAATTGTGGTAAAGAACACCTATAGGGTCAAGGATTGTACTTTCAGCTTCCTACTTATAAGACTGCCTTTGAAACGCAACATATTTTATATATTTACTGTACATGTTTAATGTGTGTGTGAGGTTTGGTAGGGTAAAGAAGGCCTAGTCGTGATGGGCACACCTCGCCACTGCCAAATGGTGGTGTGGAATAGGTGATGAGGGGGGAAAGTCACTCAAAAATAGATGCAGTTTGGGTGGAAATCATTCAGGAAAGAAATCCCTACAAAGACAGAGCAGTGTGGACTGAAACCTATAGGAGGACTACAGGAGGAAGGGTGGCAGCAGAGGCTGGTACCTTTCAGTCTCTGGTGAGGGGGCATGATTGTCTGGAGTCAGACAGTTGGTGCTAGCACTCCTAACCCTGTCCAGAGAGGGCTGCAGATCACTAGATGCACCACATCACAACATGCCATCCAATGGAGGAGGAGGAGGAAGAGGAGGAGAGGACGAGGAGACAACAGGAACAACACAAAGAGAAACAATGGACAAACAGAAAAAAGGTTTTTAAATAAAAAAATTATTTGACATTCCATAAATCTTAATGCAAATCTGAAACTTAAACCACTAGGATGGGAGTATGTGTTAAAGTGTGATGATCGTCATGAGGATGAATTTAGGCGTCTGTCTGAACTCTTAATGCCAGGGATTGATCCTTTTTAAACTAAGACTGGTCTAAGATTCATTGATTTATATTGAGTCTTAAATACATTTTACATACACATATTTATGCTTGAGATGTTTAGAATACCTTTATAATCAGTTTATTATATTGTTATAGAAATATGATGTGTTTCTGTGCCTCACACTGAAACAACACAATCAGACACGTAATGTTTCTACATCAGAGTTTGGAGGACTTCCTTATTTGTGAACTGGGTCATCCGGATAAGAGAGGTCATAATCACTACTTTAATGATGTCATTTCCTACTCAGTTCTGAAAAATATTGTTAAAAGCGACTGTATTGCGAAAGAACATGACCAATCTCCAGTGACTCGATGTCCAGAGTATTTTGGACCTGTGCTGGAAGAGTTGTGGTGGTCCTTGCATGTGCAGTTGAATGCTGGAGTCTGGCTTTGGGCCGGTCTCCTGTGTCTGATTCTGGCTCGTACTTTGAACACAAACAGATTTCTTTCACTGCTCAGTGTCCAATCATCAAATATTCCTTCAGTTACATGCTGGTTTGCTAAAATGTCATTTTGGGTCATGCAGGAAGTTTAGGGAAGTTATTAATCTGATTTTTTAATAATGTTAGCTATTTAAATTGCATTATCAAATAATGACTAAAACAAAAAAAATACATATTTTACGAAAATCAAGATTTTATTTCTGCCTCTCTTTCTTTTTTGTTTGTTTGTTATTTACAAACATGTTGGCCTGACTATAAAATGAAACGAACTAAAATGCTAAAAACAAAAAATAAAACAGCTTGATCCTGTGAGAGGTTCTGGGTAGCTGGTGTCTGCAAAGATAAATTACTATGGTAAGTGCAAAAACGGCAGCTGGTAGGTACGAGGAGTGAGTTTGACTTGGCCAAAGTAACAACTGTCCAGATGCCATCTGTTTAGTAAATGTAGCTGGCTGCTAAAGTTTCTGCAGTGTTGAAGACATAAGGAAGAATCATCTCATAACATAGTTTTTTTACAGTTCTGTCATTAGGTTGTAACAAGACAGGTTCCACAGAAATGTTTTGTTGAAGGTATTAATTTCAATGCTGTTGTTATAACCTGGATAGTAAATGTACTCCTCAACCCTAATTTAATTGTTTTTACACTAAAGGAAAAAATTCCATTGTTTGTGATCATCTATCTTTGTGTGTACCAAGTACCAAAGTCCCACCTCACCAGTGAACCTTTGACTGTAGTGTGACATGAGCTTCATGTTGCCCCCACCATCTTTATTCGCTTACCAGAGCTCAACTTTTGACATGCAAAAGCATGGATCTATGGTCACAAACAGAGCATGCAAAATATTCTGCTGGGAGATACTTACGTGAAAGTAAGACAGCAAAAGTTGCAGGCTCAAGTTTCTCCACCTAACGTGTGTATGTGTTGTTTTCTGAGTGTCTTTAACAGATCAATGGTTTTACTATGGTTGCGAAAAGGTCATACCGTCACAACAGAATGTCAAAAGGTCTCAGTATGCTCCAAATTGTGGGACAACTAGGTTTTATTTTAGTGTCCTCTTGTGACATTACCTTTTTAACCTCTTCAATTTCATCAAGTTTGCATAAAGAAAAACACAAAGAATGCAACACTGTTGACAGGAATCAAAAAAGGAGAATTTGTGTAGATCCTTGAACTCCCAAAACAATAAATAAATAAAGATCTTTATATCATTCTTTCTACCTTTTATTGCAACCATGGGCATAATTCTGGTTTAACTAAAGCAGTGATGCGTGTGCTACACCAGAACACGTGAATGTATAAGAAGATAGTTATGAGAGCTGATGATACAAACTTAAGCAAAGGATAACTTCAGCAACTACAACACCCTGCTCTGAGGCCAAAATGTGCCTTTAATCCTGAATAAACTTAGCACAATAAGGACATTGTGTTTAGTAGATTATTTATTTTGTTGTGACAATGCTTCTTGGCAATAAATCTTATACCGTTGGAAAGTTTCTTAATTTCCCTGTTAAATTATGTCACATTTGTAAGGAACATGCATTTGTGGGATGAGCAGTAGAGCTGATTATGGGGTTTGTGCACATGAAAAACCTGCCAAATCTCGTCTACCAAACAGTTTATTTTGCTGTTGCTATGGATGCTTGTTTTGAGCTTCTGGCTCCTCCAGGTGCTGCCAATCAGGTGTCTCATTTAAGAAGTATTACCAAGAAGTATTGTTACAAGAAAGAAATAATCTACCAAACAGAAATTTCTTTATGTTTTGTGCTAAATATACAAAAAGAGGCAAAGCTTTTAGGTTTTAATGCATCTACAGCCATCCATTGATTTACCATAATTGACAAAACAGTATGAGAAAATTGACACACATCCCAATCAAGTTCCTAAGTTCCAGATGTTTTTTTAGGGAGATCCCTCTGCTAAAACAGCTGTTTTACCAAGACCTCAAGGATATTTAGTGTTGCAGTCTTTTTTTCAAATTATCTGCAGCTTTTAAAATGATTAACATCAACACAATTGGTTTGAGTTGCACCCAACAACCATATGCTGTATTATATAGTGTTCCCAGGGATGTGGGGCTTTAATTTCTACCTAATCTCCCATATGCAATCATAGATTACATTTTTTACATACAATAACTATATGGAGCTAAATGTATTAGACCTAAAAATATATATTTGAGACATTTTTGTAATAAAGGCAAAGTGCCATTCATTTACATTAAAACTTGTACTGGGACCAACTATTGGGATGTTGGTCTCCTTTCAGCTATAATTTCCAGGATCCGGTATTTCACAGTATAAACTGTTGATGGTTGTATCCAACTAGATGACATAGCATGTGTGAACATCTAAGTTCATTTCCTCTGTATGGTTTCCCACAGGGCTTATTCTTCGGACCCATTATCTTGGCAGCACACACCATCTTCTTGGACCAGGTCAAGCACTCGCATGGCTTCTTATGTCACTGCTACATGTATTACCAAACACACTGCACACAAAAACCCAGTGAAGTCAAACAGAATCTCAACTTGTCTTTTAAGGACTTCAAGACGCTGAAATACAAACATGATTCTGTTAATCCAGCTAATCAACAAACAACAAACAGTTAATACAGCTGTTCATCTCTGCCAACAAGAACACAACATACAGTGACACAAACTGAGGCTTTATAAATTATATCCCTGATAAAATTTACAAGAATCCTGCCATCTTTTTTCCCTCACCATTTCACAGCTGTCTTTATTGGGCACTTTATATGATTTTATGATTTAAAAATCATAAAATTAGATTTTGTTACCTAGTGCTTCGCACTTAGCCTCTGAATCTCCAAACATGTATCATTAAAAAGATGTTCAACAAAAAATGGATGCATGACTCCATTACCGATAGACGTTCACAGGCCACTGACCAAACAACACGTTCTCACTCACAACTCGTCACATATTGATGCTTGGTCAGGTACCGTCTGCGTCCAGTTTTGATGCATCGGGTACCCCCCTCATGTCAGTTATTGATGCCAGCGGCTTTTCAGGGTTCGAGCCACATAGGGGTCTTTGGGTTGGGGTCTGTGGTTAATATTATGGATCAGGATTAATGGTTAATTTTAGGTACTGAGGTCAGGGATAGGTTGTCTAGGGCTAATAGAAGTTCAATTTAGGTCTGGGACGGTTAGTTGTCGTGCATTTCCTCATCTTTTCAAAAATATGACAACACACTCATTTTCCTCTGTCTCATCTAGTCAAAAACGGATGCAAGGTGGTTACCCAACTTGTCAAAACTGGACGCAGACGGTACCTGACCAAGCATCAAATGTGACAAGTTGGGAGTGAGACTGGGTTGGACCAAATCAAATTCAAATCTTTGTCACTAGAAGCTGAGTTAGAACCCAGCTCTCTAAACTTAGGATTGTACAACTCTGAAACTCTACATTTCTTTCTAAATCATCTTCTGGTCTTAGCATCCATAAACAACCCAGTCACCATCTAGATTGCTTTATGTTTGTGGCTCTATAAATGATCTAAAGTTACCAGCTAGATAAGTAACTTCACTTCATTAATGCAGGTAAAACATTGGACTGTAATAGAAATATCTCCCAATTTCACTTTTGCTTATTTAGGTCATACTTAAAGACCTACCTGTTGGTCTCTTTGTGGATATTATTTACCAAAAGCAGTGTCTTTAGAGGCAGAGTGTACCTGCATGTAATACATCTTCTACTGTGAGCACACATGCAGCAAACACAAGTGAGAAAAGGAAGGAAAGATTCTAAAAGCAATACAACATAAAGACAGATCTTACAAAACAGAACGAGAGGCACCTTATCCAGTGATTTTATTTACTAGTAGCTCATCTGAAGCAGAACTTGTTGTTTTGTTTGATTTCATTTTTATGTTAAAACACTAACTGTATGATAACTTAGAGCAGGGGTGTGAAAAACAGTTACGGCTTATTTTCTGTCAATATTTCTTGAAAAAAAATGTTATACAACAAATTATTCCTATAGAAATACTGATTACCTTTTTCAGGTTATTTATTATGTAGCATTTAGAACTTACATTACCTAACGAATAAAGAAAAGCATTTTTTGTCATTCATTTATTTTGCTTTACTCTCTACCGTTTTTTTATTTTATTTATTATTTCATAAATTTACATTTTATCGCAATAAAGCAAATAAGGCAAATAAAAAACAATTAAAAATTAAGTATGTGACTTCTAAATAAGAAGACAATACAAAAAAAGATAATTAAAGTTGATAGTCTGTTGTTTGTTTTACACCAAAATCAAAGATTATTGAAAAATTCAAATTGAATTTTCTTTGTTTCTTTCATAAGAAGAATTCATTAAATCCAACAGCATAATGAGAAACTATAAAATGATTTTACATTTTAAAGCGTTACCTTTAAATGCTGGGAAAAAAGTTAACAAGTGTCAGATTTGGCCCGCGGGTCTTAAGTTTGACACATGTGATATAATGGGAATTTTTCTGTGTTATACTGATTCTTTACGTGTGTCCATGGATAGATCAAATCACTGGGTAAGCGTGTACAGGGTAAACACACAGAACAGAGCTAATGACAAAAAATACAAACTACACAGCTGGGTTTATTCTTATAGTTCTCCTTTAAATTACACTCATCTATCAATCACATCTGTGTGCACATCAGTCAGAGTTTAAACTTTTATCAGCTTCTACTGAAACACACAGATGTGTTTTGAAGAGAGTGACTTACCTCTCTGACCGTGTGCTCAAACCTAATACCCATGTGCATAAGAGTATGTGTGATACTGTCCTTGTGAAAAAATTTAATTGTTACAGCTTAAAATGAATAGGATGCAGAAACAGAGAAAAAGTATGACAATGACAAAACTGGTGTACGATCACTGGTCTGATTTATATCAAGTGTTATTTCAGTCAAGTTGTCGGAGAACCTCGATCTAAACACAATCCTGTAGTGTCCTCTAGTGGAGCTGAAGCAGAAGTGCTGCTGAACGGCCATGGGGTTCAATCATCTTATATTTATTCTGCACAAAATCTAACCTTTAACAATAAAACCTACTGTATTTATGTGTACAATGCAATAAATTTAATCTCCAAAAATCATCTATAAAGTGTGTGTGTGTGTGGGGGGGGGGGGGTTCATATTATACATGGGAGTCAATTTAGACCAACTTTTTGCTAATGTACTACCACAATAAGTTTTAATACTTTCTCATAACTGAAATGTTGTGTGGCGGGGGATAAATCATCATAATGTCTCCCTCCCTCCAGCTTTATGTCGTCCATAGTGAAGCATACAAACAACATTAGTTGTTTTTGTCACACCAATGTGGGCAGAGGAAAAAAAATCTATTTTTTTTTTTTTTTGGTAACAGCGGTGATGAAAAGAAGACGTGCACATTTGTGCGCTCACGAGTACATCTTGCTAATTTAACAACCAACCTCTGTTCTGAGAGCAGATTAGTTTCATTTTTTACCTTTGCTCTGCAGCCACAAACACTTCCACGGGTGTGTGTCCCCAAATAATCTGTTTCCCAACCAGAGGTGTGTGTGAAATTTGCGGTAGCATTATACATGTGGATTAGATTATTTTATGCCTTTTTAATGACAAAATAATGGGAGGTCACATTAAAGTCCAAGTGAATAAATACCATAATTTACTTTTACAGAAATTCTAGAGCTTGTTTTTCTATTTTGTCACTCTTTAAACTGTTTTTTTCTTTTCCCTAAAGGTAAAACAAGGATGCAACTGGACTAAAGACATGAAAATAAAGCTCATCTGATACCAGAGTGTAAACACGTCACAAGTTACCAGTTTACCTGGTGTGTAGACACTCAGCACTTTTGCCTCGCATTGATTGGTGGAGCATGATGACCTCACTGTGGTTACCATGGAGATGGATGACACATAGGGAAATCGACAACAGTCAAAACAGCAGAAGAGCAGAGGGAGAAGGGAGTAAATAGGAACGAGGAGTATGCAAACTTCTGAAAAAAAACACTTTTTCAGAAACTCCAGACGTGTTTCATACAACGTTTTCAGCATCAGTGTTCAGCTGTAGCCCCTAAATACTTTTAATATGCAATAATAAACAAAGCAATTGAAAAACAGAGCTAAAAATTAATCAAATAACACATAAAAACTGTAAAAACTTGAAAATTTATAATACACTCAACAATACTTCAAAGACATTTTCTGCAGCACAAAACTCGGCCTCATAACATAAAACCACAAAAGTGATAAACTTTATAGTCAAACTCACATGAGAGCCCATTGGATTCAATTCATCTGAGTACACACACACACACACACACACACACACACACACACACACACACACACACACACAC